AGTAGTAGTAAGTAAATAAAAAAAAAAAAAAAAAAAAAAAAAAAAAAAAAAAAAGTAAGTACATTATCGCTGATCAAGCTCGAATCGTGGAGGAGACAAAAGCATTGTGAAATCATCTCTAAGAGAACGATTTCCTTGCACATATTTATCGAGCTAAACAATGTTGATCGACGAATAAGATCATCGGTTCCGGAAAGTCGAACGGACCGCCGACAAACGACCACCCAGTAATTTTGACCCACCGTGCGCATACTTGTCTGTTCTTCATCTCTACCGAAAAATCATCACACATCGGCATCATTCTTTGTTGCAGATAAAACACATCCTGGAGTAGTAGTTTAACCGTAGCAGTAGCTCTCTCTGTCTCTTATCATTTTGATATTGCAGCCTTGCAAATGCATCGAAACACAAGCTTGCTAGCCGACAGTTCGTACAATCGACGAATTCCTCATTGCATCGGCGCTGTTTCACACATTAAAGATCATTCTACAAAGAAAATTTGGCTACACTTTATCGTGAGAAAATTCGTAACTGGAAGGATCATATGATTTACAGATTGTATTATATTAATGCAACTAAATGTGAATAAACATATATTTATGCAGATTATGTAATTAATTTTTATAATATCATTCTTCGAATAATTTTATAATAAATAAGGTAAAGTAATTAAAAATTAATCAAAAATAAATTTAGTTGCGGGAATAAACGCAATTAATGTTACTTTTATTATCTTTTCCATTTCTACAGAGATAGCGCGTAACCGCATTTCACATGATAGCATCAATAAATGACAAATGGATTGAGAGCCTAGATCGATATCTTGATTTAGGTTAGTTTAATGTTTCTTCAAATGTTTTTTAAAATGCGATATACACAATATATTAAACAATCATGTGCATTTTATTTCCATGCATACTATATAACTCGTATATACTAGCGAGTCATACGTACAATTTGACACTCATTCAAAAATTTAAACGTACATGGCGCACCATACCAATCCTCGGTTTTTCATTTAACAAGGAAGAAAAATAGTCGTTCTTGTAGACAATGATAACGACGATATATATTTATTTTTATTTATATATGTATGTATCTATATATGCAATACATATATGTATATTATACATGTATATGTATTATATAGATAATATATATATAATTTATATATTATTAATAATGTCAATATAATCAAAATTATTAATATATCAATAATATTATAATATTATAACATTAAACATTACAATATACTAGGCGGTGATAATCTTGACAAGTTAAAACGTCAAAATGAATAATTATTGGTGTAAATATTGGTGTAAATGGTAGCAGGTATAAATGGAAATTTCTATTAATAATGATAATAAAAATATCTAGGCTAATAGTTCGGACAATACTGGACGTAAATTAAATAATTATAATTGAATTAGCATTATTTATTATAATAATAATAATAATAATAATAATAATAATAGTAATGATAATAATTAATAATAATAATAATCATAATACATAATAAAATAATATTCTAGATAATAAAAAGATTGCGACGAGAAATATATATATATATATATTTTATTTTTCGAGTATTCTCAAGGGGAACAACGCGGATAAAATATGTGTACATTATCAATACGAAAAAAAGGTACTGAATAATCAAAAGATTAAAACTCTATTTCATCTCGTGCAACCCAATTAATAGTTACTATATACAATCCACCACAATATATTTTCATTCAGTATACTGTAAAATAAGTTTAAAAAAGATTTCGAAGATAAAATGTATCTTGGAAATTTTTATGAAACTATTTACACAAATTATAGCTGAAGCTTAGCATTATTTGAAAAATTAGATAATAATTCTAATACGTACATTTCAAACCACTTTTCGTTGTATTCATTTCAACTTTTATCCATCTTTTCAGTTATGTAAAAAAATTAATGTGTGATGGGCTTAAAAAAATTATGAAAATTTTTGCAAATTCCAAGTATTTTAATCTAATAAATTTCTTATATCAGACTTAAATTATACTATACATCACGTATACCTCAAATACATCATCTTTTACCTATTTCAAGAAATCTAGTGATTTTTTTTTATGTATATATATTTCTTATATTTCTTCTTTTATATTTCAATATTATATTAATCCCTTTAAAATCTAATTTTTGCCTTTACTATTAATTGATTTGTTTACAAATTAAGATTGCAATTTATACAAATATTATTATTGATCGCGCACTTTAGTCAGCACCCGATTCATTCCTAAAAAGAAAGTATATACCCGTTTCGTGGACTAAAATTCGGTTTATTACCAGGTTGTTATTATCATTATGTATGCAATTGAAATTTAATTCGTCAAATTATTTTATACCGAAAAAGAATCATTTTTTTAACAACAAGTCGAGTCGAGAATTGATTGGTATGTATCTGCTATTGCATATTGAACCATGTGTAACCCAAATTAACATATGTCCTACCACCGCAGAATTGCACGAAATCCCATTGTGTATGTGTGTACATAACTATACGATGATAATCAAAATCTAATCTTTTGGATGTACAATTTTGTATCGCTTTAGAGATATACTATGTGCCAATAAATATATTTATACATATATATGTAATAATAAAATAACGTCGGAATATAGATTTTTTTTAAAATAATGTTTCAAATTTACGGTTTACATTCGAAAGTTTATTTTTCATACTATACATGCGATATTATGTGATGTCATATTAGATCGTGGAAGCCTTAAATATTTGAAAATGTACTCTTTTTGTCTTTAATTTTTTTTTTTTTTTTTTGTTAATAAAAATTTTAATACCTTAATAAAAATACAAATCATATTGAAGTCAAAAATAATAAAAATATATCAATTATTGTTCAATGTGAATTCAAAAAAAGTATGTATATTTATATGTGTAATCTCACATTATATCGGTGCGTACCCCATGAAAGAACCAAAGTGCAAAAAGCGAAATCTTGGAGTAGAATGAGTAAAATCGTGTCTTATATCACAGATTTCCCAAGGTGCGTTAGTCATCTACTAATTAAAAAAAAAAAAATTACATTTCCGCAATATGTTTCCCCGAACGCATCAGTCAAAACGAGGAACGCAACGATTAAAAATAAGAAACAATTACTTCGAGACACGATATGCTCGTCAAGGAAGTATCGTTATCTCAGCGTAACAAAAATTTGAGAAATATCTGACATATCTCTGAAATATCTCCAATATCAGATATTTCTACATAATTTTTCACCTTCTAAGTCGGAAAGCAACGTAACTTGCCGTGCATCGCTAAATGAAAAAAAAAAAATCGCTCGAAAAAATCAATTGATATCCCATCTCGTGCAAAAAAATCTTATCAACGAGAAGAAATAATCATCATTCCTGAAACGTTCAATCCGAGTTTTCAGGTGTTTTTAATTCTTTACGACTGACTTGTGTTTTTTTTTTTTTCTATAATCTAAAATATATATCATAGTCTATACACGTGTACATATATATATATATATCTATATATATATATATAAACTTAGAATTGGTAAAATCTAAAAAAAAAGGTCGTGTATGTACTCGGTAGCGCAATACTGTGTATACAAATATGCTTTTTTTCGTCTAGTTCTGAAAGTCACGAGTCTGTTTAAATCTTATGGAAAATTGCGATTTTTTTCTTTTTTTTTTTTTTTTTTTTTTTTTTTTTTTAGTAATTTGTTAATACAAAATTTGATCGTCATTGGCCCTCGACGCTGTTGTGTGTCACCGCTAAAGGGGAGCCACCTGCAGGTACTTTTCGCGCGACGTTTACTTCGGGATTCGATGATGGCATTCAGATCAAAATTCCTCTAAAATCGGAGCCAGCTATCCTCTTCTTTTCTCCATTTCGCCATTTTTCTTCCTTCTTCTTCCTGTCTTCTCTGTTTTCGTAGTTTCAGTCATCAGAAACTGGAGGCTCGACCCAGATGCAACAATGTTGAGGAGCGTTGAAGAGGCGCTTCAAGGCTTTTCGAGGCTGACTTTACGCAGCTGTCCGTATTCCGCGAGTCCCGTTGCAACAGGCCACCCTGAAGAGTTACATGACCAAGAACAATTTCGTGTTCTTGTATCTGCTATTCTTTTGTTTGAATATTCAGATTTCGTTCTCGTGTCTTCGTATTCTATATACGTCATTTTCTATATTTATCTATTTATCTTTATCGCTCTTAGGAAACTATAACCTTTTTTTTTCTCTCTCGATTCATTTTTTATATTTCTTCGTTCATGCATTTCCCTCCCACCCTTTCCTACCAACCTAGCTTTGTTATAATTTTGAACGTTCTTTTTTTTTTTTTTTTTTTTTAGTTTTACTTTGTTATTTTATTTTTTATTTCTCCCAAGGTACAAAGAAACATGTGATTATGTTTTCTCGTTACCTTTCGTTTTTTTTTTTTTTTTTATTTATACGACGACATTTTAAATTGTCATACTGTACTCTAATCGGAGTCTACGTGCGCACCTGGAGCAACATGTTGGCGAAATTGCTGTTGGTGAACTTGAAATGTCGCTTATCGTAAAATTTCAACAAAGCTGGGCTGTACGGATGCTTATCTTTCAGATGTAGGTAGTGAACCTCCGGCTCCTGTGTCGTATGACCACATTCTTCACACACGTACACCTAAAATAGAGCGAATAAAAACAAATTACTATAAATTATTATTATTATTATTATTATTAAATTAACTTTCACATATTCATATTCATGTAAATAAATAAATTTATGTTTATAAGTAAGTTATGGTTTTGATAAACATAATTGTTTTTATATTTTGATCTTTAAAGAAACAGAAATTTGTCAATGGTAAATTATTAATCAAAAAGTCAAATTCATTCATATAATATGTATAATATGTGATAAGATAAAATAAAATATATTTTCATAATATAATCTATATATAAAATATGCTTTATTCTATTGACAAATTTGAATATAAATTATGAAAATCAAATAACTGAGAACTTAAAATTATATAACTGTTGGAAGAAATTTGTGATGAGTTTTGATTGTGTGAACAGACATATACACATAATATAATTAATAATTTGTATTTATTAAGATAACATTTAAAGTAAAATGAATAAATTCGAATTCTCACCTTTGTTCGACGTTCCTTATACGCATATTGGTGTTGAACACCATGAACTTTAAGGCAATGACTTTCCAAGGAACATCTCTGGGTAAAGCTCTTTTCACAGAGATTGCATTTATATGGTCGAACACCAGTGTGTGTTCTAGTATGCCTCTTCAAATCAAACGTATCATTGAAACCTTTACCGCAGAATGTGCATAAATAACGTTTCACATCACTGTGGCATTTCATGTGACGATTCAACAATCGTTGCAGACTGAAATTTTTGCTGCACACACGGCACGTGAAACGATTTGGATCGTCGTCCTGAAAAATCAATTTCAAATTTTATTAAAATGTTAAATAAATGTTTTTTTTTTTTAACCTTGAATTCAATCAAGCAAATATAATTGCATAAAATATGTAACAATGCAAAAGTGGAACACTGATCGGGAACTAGAATCTAGGTGTGTAAATCTACAGTTTATGGAATGCTAATCTTGAGACAAGCTAATAAAATTATACAGTGTACAGGGAGGAAAAGCGTCGAAGAATGATGTTTACCTTGCCAGGCGGAGGTCGAGCTGCTCTCTCTTCCTCGCGATTAGCCGCTGCCTGTCTCTGACCCTCGATCGCGAGTGGATTTTTAATTCCGTGGCCACCGTTCACGAACTCCAACTGACAGTCACCGGGCAACCCCAGCTGTAAAAAGAAAAAAAAAAAAGAAACAATGAATTCTCTATCGGTACATATCCTTCTCACAATTAGTGACAGTGGATGAAGCACTCAATTTGATTGGCATTGCATAATTGTGTATATGCATAGACTTTAATGCAGTTGAATCAAATACCTTTAGTTTTGTATGAACAATTATCTTTCTGTAGTTTTCAATTGTCTATATGGCAATGTTTAAGCATTTTGGAATGTTATTTATACAGAAAAATCTAGTATACTCTAGCAGAAAACTCGATGAAAACTTTTTAAATTTTAAGTAATTTGCACAAACAAGTAAGAAATTAAGAAAATGTTACAATACAATGTAAAATCTTAGCTTTCCAATACAAATTTTTTTATTTTTTAATTCTTGTAGAAATATGATGATATTTTTTATCGATAAATTCAAAAGCAGTGCTACCACTTAATTCTGAATACTAATGAAATTCCCGATCTTGCTTATAGCAACTAACTAACATGCTATGTACAGTCCTGAACTGATATTCGATTCTTATTTGTGCTTTCACAATAATTTTCTATCTTCGACAATTGTTTTTTACGTCTTAATCGAAACGAATTTGTTAGGAGATGAAAAAAGTTGTATGAGAAAAGGCAAAGGAGAAAGAAAGGAGAGGCAAGCTTTCGAATTATCGAACAAAACAGTGCCATACAGATTCAGATTAGCCGAGTTCAATTTGCTAAAGAATAAAGTATGCTTTTGCCTGTATCAATTTCGGGTGCTTACCCTTTGCTGCAGTACACCGACCCGTTGCGTCAGTGGTGGTTCTCCGGCTGGACCAGTCGATTGCACAGTATTTACCGATGCCGAAGACACAGTGGCTGCTGGGCTAGGCGCATGCTCCATCAAAGCGCAAGATGGCGACGTACTAGTAGAAGCAGCATCTAACGAACAGCTCGCTGCTCCGGGACTTGGTAAACTTCCACCCACGCTACTACCTGAATCTAGTTCCAGACCTTAAAGTCAATACAATTTTATCTTTAAAACTTCAGAATCACCTATATTTGAAATTAATTTTTATAATATAATTTTGCAGGTACATTAATGCTTTCATAAATGGAAATATTTCTGTATAAATTAATTACAATTAAGAAGTAGCACATGATTTTTTGCTAAATTGAATTTCTCAATTTCATTTCATTCAGTTTGTTTTTGACAGCAGTGACAAGAAAAGAAAGTATATAAGTACAAGAATATGATAAAAATGTAGTAACAATCAATAGTAAGCAATCAAAAAAAAAAAAAATAAGAATAAAGATATTATTACGATATGATATTATTATTATGAATTTCAAGAATTTTAACTATATGCTTGATTTTATTTTGATTTCATTTTTATCAACAAAATGGTGAAATATGATGAAAATATTCTTATAAAAAATAATCTCAAATTATATTGAGATATATAACTAGATAACCATTTATGGAGACATTATTGTTAAAATAAAGTGATTTGTACAAGTTGTTTCATAAAGAATGAAACGGAAAGAAGCGATATAAACACTAACCACTACCGGTGAAGCTTAATCCCGGACTGAGTAATCCTTGATGTTGTTGTTGATGAGGTGAAGCGGACGTTGTTTGTTGTTGCTGTTGTTGTTGCAACTGCACCTGTATCTGCAATTGTTGCAGTTGTGGTTCGGATTGATGTTGATGATTCTGATTAATGTGAAGCGCGAGTTCGGGTCGTTCCTTTGAAACGGATTGATAACTCGATTCGCCCGTAGCATAAGTTAGTCCTAATTTCGAAGTGCTGAAATGTTGAGGAGCTGCCGTGTAGTGCCTGAACAGAGATGATTATTCATTTGTATTATTTAACAATGATCGGTGAGTAACTTTCGAATCCATTAATTTCACGATTATTCATAATGATAGTGTTTTTAAAATAATCCTTTGCAATTGAACTTTTTTCTGAAAAATTTAACGATTAATTTGTACTGTAACATAAAGTGATCATATTTGTCAGTTTAAAATTTAACTAATAGAAATATAATATGATAATGAGAATCAGCATTACGCGGTAAATTTGAAAATTCGGTTGGTAATATTATATATATATATATATATAATATTACCAACCGAATTTTTTCTATATTTATTCTGAGTTGATACTTTTTTCTGTTGATCTTGGTAGCAACATTTCAAATACAAAAATATTCGTCGAGAACTAATCGACAATTGATTTAAATCGCAATTGTTCATTTTGCCTTTAACGTTTAAATATTATTACACGCACGTGCAATACATATATTTTTCGAACATTGATTAGATAGAAAAGAAAATCAGGTATTGAAAAAATGAATATTCATCAGTTTTTACAGATAAAAATAAAGATAGACTGAATATTATAGTATACTTAACTGTTATTATAACAAGTATAAACAGAAATAGTGAAAATTCGACCACTATTTACATTGAAACACAAAAAACAATTAAATCTATGTTTTATTATGAAGAATATTAAGAAGAATAATTTTAATTAAATTGAAAGTTTAAGTTCACTCATTGTTAATTATTTTTTTTTTTATTGAATTACAAACAACAAAATAAAGCAAATAGACAATTTAAAAAAGTCCAATAAAATTCGAAACTCTTATGATCACTTTACACAGCGTGTGAATCACATCAGACGCGAACTTCAGAAGCAGCTCAATTCCTGGAGGATTGTTAGTCCTGTGCAATACCCACCTCGACGTATCAAAGCTTCTGGTCAAGGCCATACTATGCTCTGGAAAAGGATCAACACTTGGCTCTACAGGAGTAGTCATTTGTCCATTATCTTGACCGATCCCGCTTCCAGCTGAAGCTGGAGAATGTAATGATTCTTCCAAAAGATCGTTGCTACCATCTTCAGCCGGTAATCTCGGTAGGAAGAGATCAGCAGCGTCACTTAGACTTTCTAAGAGGGCGGTATGATCGGAGGGAGAGCTAAACGTTAGAGTAGCTGTGAATTGAAGAGGGTCCACTACTGCGCCAGTCACCATATCCACCATCATTCCCGTATCAGTCATGTCATATGCGCCATATTGTCCGGATAACAAATCATTCGCTTGAATTTTGTACGGGGATAAATCTTCTTCCTCCTTCAACGTTAAACCGTACGAGGCGCAGACATTTTGCAATAGGGAGTATTGCTTTCCTTCTTGAGCGTTATATTGGGAATGCTGCGAGTTCACGTCCTGCTGACCGGTGTCGCATTCCATCCCTACTGTTGGTGATGGTGTCAGGTATCCATTTCCTGAAACGATTATTTTATTTGTAAAATCTAAGTCTAGAATTATTTAAACGTAGAAACCATTTTATTGATTTTCAATTTGTTTGAAATATATTGCCAAATATATATCACGCCTCTTTAATTTCCAATATGTATAAAATATATATTATAGTTAAAAAAGTTTTTAGAATTTATAGAAAATTTATAGAATTTAATTCAAATGTAAAGTTTAAATAAGATAAAAAATTGGTAATGTAAGCGCAGCATTCTTGGCAAATATATTTCAAAAAAAAAAAAAAATAATAAGAAACACAATTAATTTTTCTTGAACACACTAAATTCAAAGAATGAGATATGCGAAAATATTATACAATTCGTTCACCTGTGTTTTACCTCTGTTTAATTTTATTTAATTCATCGGATCAACGTTATATCCGCGCTCTACAATAATAAATATGATGTACAGAATTATATATTTTGAAAATTAAGTTAACCGTTGCCTCCTGAGGAACGATGTTGACAAAATATTTCAAGGATATCGTTGACCGCCTTGAATTAACAATAACACTATTTCGGCTAACGAAATTTATATATCTGTCTGTTTACCTTCCTAAATTCCACAATAAAAACATTTCATTGTTCAAATTGTTCGTACCTTGTGTACTGTTATACTGGTTCGCGAAATTCGCCAGATTATTGCCGCCTTTGAGGGATTCGTAGAAGGGCGGCAAAGAGCCAGTGGGCGGTGAACTTGGCCCGTAATTTCCACGGCCGCCGTTTCCTCCGGGATTCATTCCACCGCCGGCACCTCCGCCCACAGCACCACCACCACCGCTACCGCCTGTGGCCGCTCCTCCTCCACAGTAACTGCCACTTCCGCCCGAATTCGAAGAGGAGGAACTGCCAGAGTTGTTGGAGCTGCTGCTGGACCCGGAACCGCCGTTCCCACCGGAATTGGACGATCTCCCGTGGCCGGCGGCTGCGTGGACCACCTGGGGACCGGACAGTCTCATGGCCAGAAGAGGCCTGGCGATCGAGTTGCCTATCGCGCGTGACACTTTTGCGCCTTCGCGGCCTCGCTCCTCGTCCTCTTCCTTTCTCTTCGGCACAGCGTAATCGATAGGTTGCTCCTGCAAAGATAACGAGTAACGTCAGCTGTCACGCATTTCTGAGGATTGCTCGGGACTGGCGGTGTGGATTAGCATATGTTCCTATTGGTATTCATAAAATTCTTCCTGGTGTGCCGGCGAGGGGAAGCGAGCGGGGCGGAAAAGTTTAGCCTTGATGAGGTGTTAACCACTACTGTTACGAAGGACAAACACTGCGAGCTATATTGATAATAATGGAGTGTTTATAACGTAAGTACTACTTGGGTAATCATAGAAAGTATAATTTCAAAAACTTTTAATTTTTTTTTTTTTTTTTTCTTCTTCGAACATTATTCGGTATAATATTAAATAGATTTTAAAGACATGGTTATTGATTTAAAAATTGAAGTTAATTTTCTTTTTTTTCTGTTTAACAGGGATAGAAAGATCGATAATACATTTTTCTTTGAATTATTTTTTTAATCGTCGCTTAAATCAATCGCAATTTTAACTCATTGAGTATAAATAAAATTAACGATAATTTTGAAAATCATTTTAACATTGGAACGATATGAGGAAAGTAATTAAGAGGGAAAGAGAGACAGAGAGAAAGAGAGAGGCATCAACTGCAAGAAATGTATGGTATAAAACGAAAAGATATAATTACTTGTTCTGGTTCTTGAGTTTGTGGCACTTCGACCTTATCTTCTCTCCTCGATGCAGATTGACTTTGGGATGGAACCCTTTGAATGACCGAGACCCGTGTGGGTGGTTCGACTCTAGGCGTTTTTGGAGGAGTGGTTGGTCTAGGCAATACCAATTTTTCCGATTTCGTAAGGAATTGTGTAGCATCACTAGAAGAGGGCGCGATTGGGGGATTGCTGTATTCCTTGCGCTCCGCCCTGGTTAGAACATGACCCCTGCTTCCGTATGGGATATCTCCACCAAGGATACTCGAGATAAATCGTCTAGGTGGCGTACTAGTTGGAGTGTTTGTCGACTGCCATTGAGGGGGCGGAGACGAAGCCGGACTGCTACTGCGAAGCGATTCCGGGGTCGTCGCACGATCATCATCCGTTTTCTCGCGATCTATAAATCGTATTGTTACCGTTAAACAAACTTTTTCCTTTTTTACATTGAATCTCTGGCATCTTCTCTTCTTTTTTTTTTTTTTTTTCGAAACGGAAAAAACGGAGAGCCAACTTTAGACTCTGTCTTGACTCTTTGCTTAAAAAGAATTTCTCTACTCGAAATAATGAAGCAACAAACGTTAAAATTAATTTATCCTATCAACGAGTTGTTACTTAAGACAAACGAATAAATTAAAAAATTTCACTCGAGTTTAATTCATTTTATTATTTAATTTAACAATTTATTTTGACAACTAATTTAATTCCAGGTCGAGATTCTGATGCGAAATTCAACAAGTTTTTTTCGACGAAACGAATGTCTCGTCGTAAGTGTTTCGAAACTTTCTACGTTTTACGAAAGTATTAGATTGATTGATGAACTGGTTAAAATAAAGTATCGATAAGATCGAAAATGCCCTTCACCGTTCATAGAGGCAGTGATTACTTTCTCGAGTGACGTTTAATGACGACAGCTTTTTAGATATCACGTCGAAATAACATCGCCGATCGAGGACAAATTATGAGGCAGTGCGTGAAGGACGCAAGTGGAAAGAGAGTATAGCATACGGTACCTACGAACCCCCTCAAGGTTGCTCGTAAATTCAGCCATCCTGACTTCACGGGAATCCATATTGTAACCGTTTGCTCATTACGTATTCGAGACGCGTTGGACATTGAAATTTCGTCGCCGACCGAAACCGAACTAAATTTGCGAATTTTAATCTTTCCTCTCCGTATTCCGAGAATAGTTTTGCAAAAGAGTTCGGGAAAACGAAAATTGCACACGAAAAAGAAAGAAAGGAAAAAAAATTAAAACTGAAAAAGTAATTTAAACTAGCGACAAAATATTTATTCAATTATGTAATGATTGTGTATTTAAAATTCGATCAAACTTTCGAATCATAAGATAACATTATCTAAGGATAATGCAATAAAATTATAACATTCATAAATTTTCTGCAATTATTACGAAAAATATAGAAGAAAATCTTTTGTTAATGTTTCATTTATGTACTTGAAAAAAAAAAAAAAAGAAATTATTTTCTCGTCAATATATCTAACGTATCACATATAAGTTCCATAAAAAGTTGTCCAATTTATACAATCTAACCTAACCGGATATAATGCCTTCACCTTTATTTTCTTTAATTAATTCCCTATTTCGTTCAATCTCAATATCAAATCAACAATAACCTTGGAGTTACAAGTTAAAAAAAGCTACATGTTTCGGTATTCGTGCAACTTTCTATCGTTCGACGATCGTATTTACGACGGGTAAACGCGAGCGCGAGGAGCGCCCTCCAAGGACACGGCGTGGAAGGCAATTACACGCAGTCACGAATCGTTTGACGGTTGGGACGCGTTTAGTAATTTCTGTTTCCATTATCGGAGGCCCGCTCGCGTCTGCGCTCTCTTGACTTTGACACCGACTCTGTTTCGCGAATGGAGCACGAGGACATCGTGTCGGCCGGCGAAGCCATTCGAGCGTAAACCAGGAAACCGACCGCGAGGACACGCCACTTTTTGCGAGCACGTGCGCGCCGAGTACGGGGACCAGTCACGAGGAAAGCCGTTTCCGCTCCTCGCTTTTAATCGCTCTTTCAACGACCGATCGAAATATCTAATGATTTCTATCGATTTACGATCGGTCAATTATGAATTAATCAATAAAATATTTACACGAATATTCAAACACCGATATAACTTTCATCTCTGATATTCCATATATAGAATAAATATATAGCAGAATATAAAGCAGCAGCAGCAATTTAAGTGATTTAGAAGATACGTAAGATAGATGTAAGAAAATAATAAAAATATAAATAATAAAATATCGTAGGGATATTCGAATGACAAAAAAAATTTTTCTACAAAAATTTATGATATCCCTTTTTGATACATATTTTAAACAATTCGATTCGTAAAAAAAAAATTACTTTCGACATTCCCGTTTCGTTTCTTTCAAATTTGAAATAAACAATATACACGATAAATTTTCTAAGAGAAGGTACGATACTTGTCGACGATCATTAGTATTTTCAATGACCTTCATTCTCGCTACAGCGCCATTCGCGAAAGCCTCGTCGTCCCTCGGGCGAAACATCGTCTCCGCGATCAGTGAGATTTCACGGTAATATCAAACAACGCGTGGGCCAACGCGTTTAGAGAGAACGCTTCTAACGACGCGTGTTTTTACGCAACATGTTGCGTCACACCTCGAACCCGAAGGTAACGACATATCCCGCGCTCAAGAGGAACCAAAATGGCGGTTCCGTCCACGGTTGAGCAACCTTCGGGTAGAGAAAAGAATCGACCGGTGTACGTGAGATTCTCCAACCAAATCCCTCGAACAGGTCCGGGGCCGTGCTATAAATACCTGCGCAAGCTTCGTGACCGGTGTACCGATCTTTTTCTTCGTCTCGCTTCTTCGAGTCGCTTCTTCTCTCCCCGGAGGAAGTCCCCATCTCTTCTTCTCTTTCCATCCATTGCTCGCCTTCTTTTCATTTGTCTGGACAGAGAGAGGAAGAAAGGGAGGCTACAAGAGAGGGGAAAAAAAGAAACAAGAACCGGTACTTCGAGTCTACTTCGGCAGGAACGAGCTCTCTGCCGAGAGAGAGAGACTAGCGATGGCCATTCGACTTTACGTGTTGCGAGTTTTCGAGCAATTTAGCTGTACAGAGGATCCAGTCGCTTCGAATCCTTATCGCACATCGAGGCTCCGTGGCGAGGGAGAGGGAGGAGGAGGAGGAGGAGGAGGAGGAGGAGGAGAGGGGGAGGAGACGACCGGTTGCGAAGTCTTGAACGACTGGACGGTGAACGAGAAAGATCTGATAGCTGTTCTCGAGCCTTGACCGTACGCAACACCCTCGTAACGTTTCTTCTTCTATATTAAATTAACACGATGCAAAATGTTCTATCATATGAAATGTGTAATAATTCAATTTTTGAACGATCGAAACTTATATCGATTTGAAGTGAAAAAAAATCTGATTCAATTTGATTCTATTGCGATGCTTTCGTAAGTTTCTTTCACATTAAACGAAACGCTGTATTATTGTAAGATTGTAAAGAGCAGCAGTATCCAATTTTTAACGATTAAAAAATTTGGTATGGATTCGAAATATTCAATCATAGAGGATTAATGAATGATGATCATAATGAATGAGAGAGCGAATAAAGAAAAACAAATCAAAGACGCAAAGACAAAAATTAAAATCATCGCGTGAAGATCACGTGACATTGAGCTGTGCGCGCCACTGCTGCGCAATGTACTATGCGCAATGACTTATTCTAATTCGTATCTCATTGTCAATCGTGATTTCGTTGCATCTTACGCGAATATCCGAATATCAATACAAGCCGAAGATACCACGATAATAACTACGCTTCAGCGAGTATACTGCGTAGACAGTTCCATTTTAAATGAGGACCCTGCGAACTCGATCGCTATAAAGATATGGTCCAAGGCAAGCGAGAACGTTCGACTGCCCCACGAGGCTTAATGTTAAAAAGTAACGGGTTGAAGAATCTACGATGACGAGTGAGATGACGTCGTATATACTTTTTTTCTCGAATCAATTAATTCTGTCATTAGTAATCGATACTGATACTATTCATTATTGATTTAAATTTAAAATCTAATTTTTTTTTTAAAATTGTACTCTTAAAATTACAATAATTCGATTTTTGCATTCCTCGAATGCTTATAAATATTTTTCATAAAAAAAATGTAACATTTTGAATGCAAATTATATTGCGTTTTTCAAATATCATAGTTTACGTGATGTATTTGATATGTACGATTCATAATTAATAATCCATAAATGTACATTAAAATAAGTAAAAAGAATTTTTTTGAATATAAATTTTTGTTCAAAAGTCTTACGATACTTTCCATTTCTCTTTTTTAAATTAATAATAGAAAAAAAAAAGAATTATTACATACTTAAGAATTTATTAGAATCTTATTAGAAGAAATCAATCAATTAAATCTGCATTCTTTTATCAGATCAATTTACTAATTCTACGTGCATTTAAAATCATCCTATAAAATGAATATGAACTTTGTTTCTTCTTATCAACAATATAAAAATTCTTCAACGATATAAAAATGCATTCATACTTATTAAAAAAAAAAAAGAAAAATCAAATCGATTCAAAATGAAACAATGATTTTCCACGGAAAAGAATGATAAATAACAAATAATAATAAACGTTATATAAGTTTCTCACAAATTATTTTCGAAATATTCTTCATAAATCTCAAACGGTCACTCTCACATATTTTAAATAATTAACTATCACTCTCAACGATTTACAAAAAAATATTCCCAGGAGTAATTAGAGGAAATCCTAATCTGAATTAAAATTCGTATCCCAACATGAATAAACGTTCGATCAAAAGGATGGAACCAGATTCGAAATAACGTATTCCGGCGGGAGAAGCGACGACTCGTCAGCCATTGGCCTCACGCCGGCTTCGTGGCTGGTTGTCCGCTCAATCGAACGAAACGCCTCGACTTAGCCGACCTACTTACGTCCGACCACTCCTTGGATCCTTTTTTTTCTCCAGTTTTTCCTTTCCTTTCCTTTTGGCTACTCGCGGAGCTACGAACCTTCACCGCTTGCACGCTATCCGTTTATCGTTTATTGCGTTCACACGGGCATTACAACGCGGCCAAACAATGCGATGAATTTGTCTTTCACCGGCCGATTTATTCGTTTCTCATCCTGTCCGCCGAGAGATCGATAGCCTTCGTATACCAATTGTGCACCATTGCAATTTGTAGTCAGTCAAGGTCTTGGTCGAAATAAGGCAACCAATAGATTTGCTTATCAGTTACGAGTCTGGATTCTTGCAACGATTCGAAAGCAATTACTTTGGAAAAAACTATTATTAAGTCAATGTTAATCTTTTGATTTAATTTTCTAAATAATTTTATTTAATGATGTTAACTG